AGTCCTGAATTGTGTTCTGGGCCCATATGAACCAGACGACAGCATCCACCTTGTCATAAGCATGTGGTTTAGCCATGGGGTGGCTCAGGTACTCTGCCGATGCCATCCTAAGGGAATAACCTTTGATTTAATCTGATAAAAATATCTACTCTTCCCTTACGATGGCCCTTAGGATTTAGTGCAGCACTCACAATAAAATTAACTCGTCATTTATTGTAAATAACACGTGCATTTTGAAAATTTCAATATCTAAATATTCAAATATATACAATATAAATATACAGTTCAAACACAATAGAAACAGGGTGTCTAAGGAAAAGCAAGATCACCAGGGATGACCACCATTCACTGTATTTGTCCTTCCAGAAACAGTCTGTCCATTCACGAGTGTGTGTTTGCCCCTCCGTGTGATGCACTGCCATGCCTCTTGCCTTCTTCTTCAATCAGTTGTTGACTGCTCTGTAGCAGTACATTCTGAGTGGCCCTGTGTTTTACTTGACTGCGTACTTTTGTCTTTTGTGTGGTTGGCTTATCGCAGAGTTAGCAACTTCTTTTAAAGGAACATTCAGGTTGTTGCAGATTTTTTTTCCCATTACAATCAATGCTTCACAAACATGCTTTTAGGTATTTCATATATAGGTGTGAAAATGTCTGTAGACTAAAAACCAAAGACCCTCACACTTTCAGTTTTGACTACATGTGGCTGAATTGCCCTCCTGAAACACTGAGTAAATCCAAGCTCTCATATGGTGGGACTTATTCTCCATACTTTTGCCAACACATTTTCAACTTTATGGCATTCTCCATTCTGATAGGGGAATTGGTGTCATTTCTATTGCAATTTGAGTTGCTCCAACTGTTGGGAAGAATTATAATCTTATGTCCATAAGCAATTCACATTTCCCCTTACGTCAGCTGCCTGTTTGGGCTTGTTGGTGTGGAAATTCAAAAATCGTGTATTTTCATATTTATTAAACATGGCCTTTTTGGAGTCTCCATTTTATGTCTTGCTTAGAAATAAGGCCTTCCCCATGACAAAGTAATAACAAAACATGCTTTCCCATAGTTCACCCTATGCTTCTCTTTTCATTTTATTTGTTATAAAATGTAAACCATTGGCCAGTGTTTCCCTTCATAAACATTGCAGTGTCCAGATCCCAATGCACTAAGGGAAACAAAGAAAGGGCCCCCACACCCTGCCTGCCTGTGGCCCAGAGCGAAGCAGCACCCCTCTTCCCTGGTCTGAACATGAGCAGCAGTGGAAAGCTTGGCTGGAGAGCATGGAGTCTGCAGCAGAGGCAGGGTAGCTCTCCGGCCACAGCCCTCCCTGCTTCCCTCCATCCCTGCCCAGAGCTTCTCCCAGGGGCACTTGACTGCTTACATTTTTACAAGGTCTTACAGTTTTGTCTGGTCCACAGAAATCTTTTATGTGTATTACTGAAATGTACTCCAAAGGTTACTCTGGCCAAACCCTGGACACAACAGCCATCTTCATGTCCACGAAATAGCTTGAGATGGCTTGATGAAAATATGTGTGTGGGTGGGAAGGAGTATAATGGGCTCTCAGATGAACCAGGAGCAGTCGGGGGAGGCTCAGAGGGCTGCAGACTTCAGAGGGAGGTGGGCCCCTGAAATGGCAAGAGTGTCGGGAGGCTGTAAGGCTGTGGGACTTGGCATCTAGGTTGGCAGCTGTTGGCTGTTCCAGGAAAACCATGACCAGTCTTTGAAGCAGGTGTTTGGTAGGAGAGCAGAAGTCTCTGAGGGCCCCAGGAGCCAAGACCCGAGCTGGGCACTAGGTAACCCAGATGGGGTCCCTGCGGGTCCTGGGAGAGGGCCACTCCTGGACACCATGGAAACCAGCACCAGCTGCCAGACTTACCACTGACCAGCCCCAGGTCTTAGGCAATCCCCACATCTCTGATACTTGGTCCCACCTTCACCCCAAGCCCACCTCCAGTCTCTCTTCTGCACAGCTAACCCCATTAGGTTCTTCAGAAAACAAAAAGCTCTTTTATAATCGACAAGAAGTCAGCTGTGATGGTAAGTAGCAGGTCTTTCCTCCATTTGGGAATGAGGGTGGAACTGTCTTCAAAGGTTTTTGCAAGGATGCTAGAGGACTTAATATGTTTAGAAAGTGCTTAGGGACTGGCATACTTGATCATTATTGGGGAGGTTGCATTGCAAACAGATGGTGTATAATAAAACTCAGTGAGTGCCATGACTGAACAGTGAAGAAGGAGTTGTGAGAGTTCTTGAGGGGGTCTCTAATTCTTCTCAAGGGGTAAATGGAGATTTCACAAAGGGGCAAGGGTTTTGTAGGTTAAATAGGAGCTTGTCCTAAAAGAAAGAGAATGAATTCCAGGTGAGGAAACATCACAGGCAGAGAGCCAAGTATGTAGGGAGAACAAACAATCTATGTGCATTTGGGAGAACACAGTGGGGGAAGAAGGAAGGAAGGAAAAGAGCAGAAGAACCTGAGTCCCTGGTACCAATCCTGGGCTCCACACAGCCACAAACCACAGCAACTTCACATGGGGAGTCTGCTGGCCTTACACCCCAGACCTGTCCTGTAGCTGTCTGACCTTCACCGAGGGGCAGACCCCATTTCTGCTCCAATTTGCTCAACTGTCAAATGAGGATATGAACAGGCTACTGAAATAGGTCGCTGAGAACTTTCAATGGGCTAATCTGCCTACAACATACAGAATGTAAAAGGAGAGCATGGAAAAACGTTACAGTTGTAAACCTCCCGGCAGGCACGCCCAGGGCACCAGGATGGGGGATGTATCACTGTCCTGGAGACGCTCACAGGCCAGTGGGGGAATCGGGCATGGGACAGACATGTGTCCAGCAAGTGTCCTCACAGAGCAGTAGTTGAGGAGGCAGTGCGAGGACCCAAGGGCCCTCCCCAGGCAAAGCGGTTCCATCTGACTCGCAAAGGACGAGGCGGCCTCTGTCAGGCCTGTGCAGGAGCATCAAGGGCCAGGGCCCTTCCGACCCCTCCATCGGCTCCCGTAAGGGGAGGAAGGCTGAGCGCTTCCCACCAGCCCCTCGCCTAACCCAGATGCTTCCCTCGCGTCCTCTTCATTTAAATAACGGGACTGTGGCGGGCGGTGGGATGAGCGGTGGAAACTTCCTGAACACCCCGTCTCCCCCTATATGCTGGCTCCACTGCTTAATGATCCAGGTTGGCTCAGAAGAAGGAAACTTGGTTCAAAATGTATGAGTTCATTTTTATGTTCTACTGAGAAAATTTATTCAGTGTGATGCTCAGCAGCGAGTGCCGTAAAACACCTTAATCCCTGGTTGAAGAAAGGTAATACCTTGACAGATGTGTGCCTCCTACTTTCCTCCCGGCCATGTTTCAACGACAAACCTTTATTTCTGCTTCTCGGCTGTAGCAGGGAAGAGAAAAAAAAAACGAGGACGGCAATAAAGCAGTCAGAAATCTCAGGAGCCAGGCGGCGACGCGATCGCAGTGACAGATTTTTAATGTGGCGGGAGAGATTGACAGGGAAGTGTCTTCGGAGCAAACGCTCGCCAGATGGAATGCAAACGGTTTATTGGAGAAGAGAGGGCCAGCTGAACCGAGGAGAGAGCAGGTATAAGGTGGTCTTTCTGGCTGCTGTGAATAAACACACCGGAAAGTGGCATGGGGAGAAGGGAAGACACAAAATAAATAAATATATATGAAGAGGCAGGGAGAAAGGCACTGAGGTGGATCTCAGAAAAGGGGCTGGCATGTCCTCAGCCCTAGCGTAAGACCTGCAAAAGCTGACAGAGAAGAGAGGGCCATGTCTGGAGGAGGGAGACCTGGAGTCAAGGCCGGTGCTGGTTAAAGCGAAGACGCTCTATTGACACTTGAAGTTCAGGTTTCCCTGTAACTCTGGGTGCTTCTGCTGGTGCACATGTTGATTTTGCTCTACTAACATTTTGGTGCCAGATTCTGGACTAGGTACTGCAGACAGAAAGGGGAAGACAGTTCTGTCCTGAAGGAGTTTGGGGAGATACACATGTCTAGCATTTACTAATGGATCTCTGTGAAGAGTAAACTAATGTGTTATTAAAGTGATATCATATGTGAATATATAAATATGTTCATCCATCCATCTATTCATCCATCCATCCATCCATCCCTTTTTCCTTCCTTTTAAAATCACTCTCCTGTACACAGCTTGTAATTTGTTTGTAGTGGCTGAAATGGTGGTACCATCCCATTCAAAAATCAACAAAAGCATCATATGATATGATCTAAAATAGGAAAAGTGGGGAAACTGTCTTACAAAGCTTCACAAAATAATCATCTACTAATAATATGTTTAAGTCCAGGAAGATGGTATTCCATGGAAGGGCCGTATCTTTTAAGTATATGTAGCTGTGATATAAAAAAATGACTAAAATGAAAAGTAAAATGAATATTTAAGCAAGTTTAAGACCATGTCAATGATACCAATGATCTGCAGTCCCCAGATATCCTGACTCAAGTTCAGGGATCCCAATACTGTCATGAACCAGCTCTGACCTTGAGCCAGTCACCTCTCTTTGTGACCTCAGCTTCTCTAGCCTGTAAAATCAAATATGGTGTATTGAATGAATACACTGCTATTTACAGATAGCATGGTTCTCCACATCCTTTTATGGCTAATATTTTAGGACGCTAAGTGCAAGTTTCTGTCGGTGGATATTCTCAAGGCTAACAGTAACTTTAAAATAACAAAGCAACAGAATTCATGCATAAGTGGAATGTGCTTTTACAATACACAATACAATAAAATTACGTTTCTTAAACAATCCATGACAGATGAATTCTTCTTCTCTTTAGAACCCAATCAAATGTAAAGATGCCCCTTTTTAGCATCAGGAGCTACAACCCTCCTTGTCCTCTGAAACAAACAAATGAAACTTGATGTTCCCAGGGATGGCAAGTCAAGTTCAAACCTGTTGTCACAGCCCTGCCGAAAATGTAGATCTGTAAGATTTCATGCCAGACTCTGGATGCCAGACATCTTGCAATAGGAATAGGAGAGAAGGAGGGCAAAAAAAAAAAAAAAAGAAAAGTGGTTAAATGCAAGGACAGAATGGGAAAAAATAAAACCATATTCCTAGCCATCCAGACAGCATTCTTCTCTGACATGTTTGTGATACGGAGCTCAGCCAAGAAAAGTCCATGATGGGAAGCCAGGTACGGTGAGCCCTGTGGGGTAGAAGGGGTTTGTGTTAGGACTGGTTTGGTGCAAAGGAGCATTTTTAATCACTTTGCAGTGACTCTATTTTCTAGCTCCATAGAGTGTTGGGGGCTTTAGCGTCTCAGAAAAAAAAAAGAAATAACCAAATCAACGTGCGATGGAAAGTTGTATCTGAGCCGTGTACATCTGGCATGTTTTCTGTTCACGTTTCATCCTGCCCGATCTTCTGGTCCCAGAGGAAATAGCCCGAAGCCTCTCTTGATCTGTTCAGCTCAGTATTCTTACCTTTGTTTTAAAACAAATGGTCAAATAAACAAACCATTTGTTTTTCAGAGACTACTGTTCTTTGGAACTCCCATAGGGTTCGGTTCATATTTACTTCTTAAAAAATTAAAATCCTGCTTGGCGTGAGAATCTGACTGAGTAAGGACATTTGGTCCAAAAAACTAAACAAGGTGAAAGGTTTAGAAGACAGACGGAACAGACAGCTGGAATTTGGCAATATATACAACAGGTTTCTTTGAGTTCATTAAAAATGAAAAAAAGAAAGAAAAAGGCGACAGCGTAACTTCTTGATTTTATTTTGCACGAACCGTCCATATTTCTGACAAGGTTTTCAAGCTACAAACGGATGCTCAAGAGCCTTTTCCCACACTTTCCCTTAAGAAGGAGCAAGGGGCTCCGTAGTTCTGGCCCTGCTCCACTTCCCGGATGTGACTGCCGGGGGGACATGGGGTTACCAGAGCCTCACCATGCTCACCTGGCGGCTGGCACAGGACGGACAGGGTATGATCCCTGGGCGAAGCACAGCAGGCCGGCAGGAGAATGGGCTCTCCAGGGCGCTTGCCCTAAACTTAAAGCTTAATCATTATCCTAATAGCACTGACGTTGATGACATTTTTTAACGTGCTTTCCAGGTAATTCAAGGCACCTCTACAGATTTCTAGAACTACATCTGGGGCAATATAGGCTTGAACAACTTTGGCTCAGAGATCAAATATCTCAATCAGAAATGCAGCTCCTACCTTCTGCCTGTTTTCATTTTCCCTTTGTCTGTGGGTAATAAGACCTAGTTGCTACATGTCTTCTAAGGAGATACAATAGTAAGTTATTTATTATGGTCTGCTTTTGTTGAAAAGTAGAATCTGTCATGGAATGGCTAGAAATTTGGGCAATATGTTTACCCCTCGTAATGTCCTCTATCATTTTGAGATACTAAGACATTGCAAATATGGTAAAGTGAAGTCAGGTCCTGCCTTACCCCTGGGCAAGTCTCCTAACCCCTGGGGACTTGAATTTCCTCCACTGTGGCTGAAGATCATTTCTAAGGTCCTTTCCTCCTTTCAAAACCTAGGATTGAGCTCTTCTATATTACAAAAAACAAAATTTGGAAAATGACCCAGCACCCATTTTCTATTAAGAAATCAAATCTTAAGGCTGCCACAATGTATAAATCAACTGATGTTTTTGATGGAAACAACAGCTAAGCATGGACCTGCCATGTGTATCACTAATCTTTGTTTTAATTTTTTTTAGCCTTCTTTTAAAAGTAACAAGTGTAGAAAATTTAGAAAATGAAAATCTGGAGATATTACTGTCTAGAAATTGCTGTATATTTTTCTAATATTTTAGAAATGTATGCACATGAATATTTTTGCTTATTTATACAAATGGCTTCATACTGTTTGCACTGCCATATAACTATTTCCACTTATTTTAACATGTTTTTTCCCCACATCTCTAAATACACTGCTACAACATAATATTTGCTTATTCATTTTCTGTCTTCCCATTAGAATTTAAGCTCTGTAGGCACAGGGATTTTTTAGCCTTCTATGTAGCTGTATTCTTCAGGAAGGTTTAGAAGAGTATCTGAAATGCCATAGGTCCCCAAATAAACATTTTGCATAAACAAATCCACAATAGCCCACCCCATGCATATATCACAACTTGCTCATTTAAGAACTTCTTGCACCATAATTTGAGAGTCGTGAGAATGGGACCTAGTCCACCAACTTCCCTGCTGTGACCTCAGCACTTGGAACAAGACCTTGGCACTAAGTAGTTGCTCAATAAATACTGTTCATCAAATAACCAGACTCCATTGCTTCCAATATTTTGTTATGATAAACAACGTGATGAACATCTTTGTAGTTAAATATTTGCTAACTTTTGAGTGACAATTTCTGGGGAAGTAGAATTGGTGGCTTCATGGGTGGGTATACTTTTGGGAATTTGCTTCCCCGAAAAGTGGTGTTTGTTTTTTTACTGTTCTACATTTCTCAAACAATATAGAAAGCACCTCTTTTCCTGATGCCTTAGCATCAGAGAAGTCAGGTTTTTTAAACCTTATTAATATCATAGATAAAAAGCCACATCTCCTTGATGTCTTCTTACATTTTTTTGTTATAAGGAGATCTGATATTTTTTTGTTACTTCAGGGTTTATTTCTTCATTTGTTCATTTTTTGAGATGTTTTTCCCCCCTTCTGTTATTGAATAAAATTACAGCACACAAAGCCTTTAGGACTACTGGCCAAAGTAAGCACTGTTCATTTTATTTTATTTTCCCTTTTTTCTTGATATTGATTTGTGAGACTTTAATATTGTGAATCACATAAGCATATTTATATATTATTGGTGGACACCTGTAGAAAATAGCCTGCCCATTTATTCATTGATTTCATAAATATTTTGCTTTCATATTGCCCCATCTACCTAGTGTTTCCTTTAAACATTTGTTGGTCCCCTGCTTTTGCCACTCATTTGTCTGTTGAATTCTACAGGCAATACTTCATAGACTTTACAGACACTTACACTATTTATAGGCTGGGTAAAGTTTAGGAAACATGCTGCCAGGCTAAATTATATTATTTTGAAAAATCTTGTCCTGTTTGTGATTTACAATTTCCAAAGCAGCTTCCTACACGCTTCTTTGAAGTCTTCTGATCAGTCTTGCTACAGTGGATTAAACATGAAGACATGCATTTTTACAGGGACAGTAGCTGAGCTTTGAGAACTAAGGGAACATATATAAAGAAAATGAGTGAGGACTGGCAAATATTCTGACTGTCATTTCAGGGTTCTGTACATTTGGGTTTTTCTTCAAACACCTTTGAAAAACAATGATGGTGGTGGTGGTGGTGGTGATGGTGGCGGTGATGGTGATGGTGGTGGTGTTCGTAACTAACTCTAGGTTTGATAACACCATTTGGGGGTCTCTGGTCACCTTACATTTCCTAAGTCCACAGTCAAGTGGGAGGAATAAGATAATTAAGGTTTTCTGAGCACTTAATATGGCCCTGAAACTTCCATGTGTATCACCTGTTAATCCCCACTGCAAATCTGGGCAGTAAGCGTTATAATTCCAAGTGTCTTTTTTCCTTTTTAAAGGGCAGGAATCTCAGGCTCTCAGGTCCCCAGTGTGTGCCCCGGGACACACTGAGGAGCAGAAGAGCCAGGATTCTCACCCAGCAAGCACATCTCTAAGGCCTAAGGCCCCCCCACCACCCTGACTTCAGTCCTCAGCATTAAGTCTGGCAGAACCAGCCCCTGACTTTGAGTGGCAAATTATAGCCTGGCTGTATAGCAGCTCTCAGTCTTATTTATTCATTTTTTTTTAATTCCTAAAAAAATCATGGCAAGTACATCAGCATGGCCCCCTGCCCCCTGCACTGTGGAAGTTTGATAATGTATGTCCTAACCGCTTAATTGATTGATTACCTCACTGCAGCTTCCTGAGGTACCGAATTTATCTCTAATAGCCAGAGTCAGGCTCTGCAGGCAACCGTGGGGGGGACGGGGGTCCCTTGGTGTCGATTTGCTCTTAACTGGAAAGTCATTACCACTTAATACATGTAGATTGTGTTGAAAGAAAATTATGTGTAATGAAATGAGGGAAAAATTAGTGGAGTGTTATGGGCGAAAGCAGATGTTAGGGAGGAATTATGCTAGCAGAGATAATCACCTTCGTTGGTATTGTGTGGGCTAGGGTGTTAACCGAGGAAGAGGCGGAGAGAGAGCTAAATGAATGCAAGGATCCGCACACATTCACCCCTTAGAACCAGCAGCAAGGAATGGTACCCCCAGGGCCTGGCGGCTGGGCCCCTGCAGCGTGGCTCACTTATGTCCAGGCCCTTTCTCCCTGCAGTCTCCCTGGATGCCTGGACACAAAGAGTCCGTCTGTGGGGGCTTGGGGAGCTAGAGTGGCCCATCCCAGGGAGGCCTCCTCCAACCAAGGCTGCTGAATGCGTGGAGCTCCAGTTGTTATTGCATTAGTTGAATCTGGGACAAAGCAAAACCGAACACCCCCTCCTTCCCTCTGAAAAAAGAATCTTAAAAAAAAAATGCTTAGCCGCTTAGCTTGTAAGAGAGTAAGGCTGTTGAATCTTTTTGCAAATAGTCTCATCTCAAATGGAGCCATTTAAGTGCCTATGCCTGTGTGTGATGCCAGGGGGGATAAAAGCTCATTGCTTTTATATCTCAGGATCCTTGGGTACAGAACTTGGCGTTCAGAGGCCAGCCTCTTGCTTGACTCATCTGCTGCTGAGGAAACTGAAGCCAGAGAGAGAGAAAGCGTCTCCTCACTCACGATGCAGACCTCGTGAGTGGGAGAAGCTGGCCATCAGTGAGGGGGCAGTGGAAGTCCAGGGCGCCACAGTGCTTTCCTCACAGGTACTCCGGTCTCAAAATGAAGTTTTCAATTCTGGCAATAAACAAATCCCTACATGTATCTCAGAGCCACCGGGAGTCTGGATTTAAGCCCCTGTTCTCCACAAGCGGTCCCTCCCGTGGTCTGTCCCACTGAGTTTTTCCCTATGTACAGAGTGCCCACTATCAGGTAGTTCTCTGCAGCACTGCACAGGGTCTGTGGAACTAGAAGCACCTGTCACTGAACATGTGGGCTGCGTGCTCCAGGCTCAAGGTTAAGTCCGTTGCATGACCATGCCAAGTTAACAACCTCTCTAACCAGGGCCCCGCCTGTAGAAGGAGTGGGT